TGACACTTGGCTGTGTTTTTTATAAAATTTTAACTGCTGTTACCATGGATCCGGCTTTGTTCGGGGTTCTAGGGGTTCACATTAACTTAGTTATCAACATTTAACAGCAATCTCACCTACTGTTGGTAGCAATTTAAAATCTATTAATGCAGTTGCTATTTTTCAAGTTCTTTCTAGCTCCTGATGATGATGATAGCTGGATCAATGAAGTAATAAAGTAAACTTTGCTCTAATTTGTCCACGTACCCAACTAAGCCTGAAGCTTTTCGCATATACACGTATATACAGGGTGTTTCAGTTTATTGTTGCATAACTTTAAGATTCGATAGAACTTTTAAAATTAATGCATAAAGTGGGGTCGAAAAATGCGTGGCTTCCAAAATACAGGGTGATAAAATTTACTTTCAAAAACAGTTTTTTTTAATATTTCGAACAATATTTGATGTATAACAGTGAAAATTGGCATACAAGGGTTTTCTGGTACGACAAAACAAACCATGGGTAGTAGTTTTACTATAGCCGCTAGAGGGCGCTCTCTACTGTACCTGTAGTGTATTAAAATGACCGAAAAATTTTTCTTAGTGCAATTTTTTGCTTTTTGAATAAAAAAACTGATTCTTCGCACTTTTCAACATAAAAAAGCTCTCCTGTAAGTTTTCGTTATAGTTAGCCGTTGTTGAGATATTTCGATTTCTATAATTCGATGCATTTTTAATTATTTATGATAAAATAACGTTAAAAAGTCAGTATCTCGATAATTTTTAGAAGTAGGCTGTGCCTACAAATATCTTTGAAGTTGAAAGCAGAATAAGGTTAAACGTCAATTAGTTGACAGTTAGTTTTGTTGTCTGTTGAAACCTGAAACGTTTTTTTTTGCAATTGTGAATGCACGAAATTTAGTTTTTTTACCTGTTTTTTTTTTGTCAGTTTTATAAAAATGCCGTCTTTACGTATTCTCCAATCAAGAGTTAGCGGATATTCACTTTGTGTATGGCTTTGTAAATGAAAACGCAGCAGAAGCAGCCAGAGAATACGCACGAAGATTTCCAAACAGACGACATCCAACTCGCTCAGTATTTTTACAGGCGATGCACTCTTACGAGTGCATCGCCAAATAATTGAAAATGGTTTTGGAAATCTCCAGAGGGATCAAAACTTAAATGTTCGTCAGCGCAGATTTACCCGTATGATTCTGCGTGAGTTTGATAGAGATCCGACCACAAGTGTTAGGAGAGTTTCTGGTGCCTTGGGAATTTCAGAAAGCCATGTTCACCGTGTTCTTAAAAATGACCATAGACGTCCTTACCATTTGCAACCTGTGCAAGGAGTACAGCCAGGGGACGGAACGAAGAATCACATTTTGTCGGTCGATTCTTGATAGAACTGATAGTAATAGGGAGTTTTTAAGTAACGTTTTATGGACCGATGAGTCATGCTTCACTAGACGTGGAGAGGTAAATTTTCATAATCAACATATTTGGTCGCATGAAAATCCGCATGTCGGGAAAGAAGTTTTCAGCATGAATTTAGTGTGAACATGTGGAATGATATCTACCGTAATCGACTATTTGGACCCTACCTTTTGCCTGCAAGGTTAAATGCTGCGACCTTCTTGGAATTTTTAAAGGCGGAACATGCAAATATGTGGGATGATGTTATGTTAGATTTAAGAAGATTGGCCTGGTTCCAGCTTGATGGTTGTCCAGCTCAATATTCGAGAATAGTTAGAAACTGTCTGGACGAAAATTATCCAGAAAGATGGATCGGCCGTGGAGGACCAGTCGCCTGGCCTCCACGATCCCCTGACCTAAACCATTAGATTTCTTTGTGTGGGGATTTCTAAAAGAAAAAGTGTACCAGACTCACGTAACCACAAGAGGTATGCTAATAGACAGAATCAGTAATGCATGTGATGAAATAAGGCCTTATTTGAATAATGCTATACCACGTTCAATCATTCGTAGATGTGAATTGTCTATTGAACAATTTCGAGCAACTACTTTAGATTTTGTATGTTTGTCCTAACTATTTTAGTTGTAAATAATTAATTTGATTTATTAAAAATAATATTGGAAAATTGAACAAATTAATATTCTGTTTTTTGTGTTTATTTGGAGTTAGGAATTATTGCTGTGTTTAAAAACACATTCTAAACGATCATTTTAATTACTTGTAATGCCCAAATTGAAAATGTAAAAAAAAATTATTTTCCCATAAATAATTAAAAATGCATCGAACCTTAAAAATCGAAATATCTCAAAAACGGCTAACTATAACGAAAACTCACAGAAAAGCTTTTTTATGCAGAAAAGTGCGAAGTTATACATCAAATATTGTCCGAAATATTTAAAAAAAAACTATTTTTGAAAGTAAACTTAAACACCCTGTATTTCTGAAGCCACGCATTTTTCGACCCATGTTTATATAGACTTTATGCATTAATTTTAAAAGTTCTATCGAATTTTAAAGTTATGCAACAATAAACTGAAACACCCTGTATATTGAGTGACAAAAAAGGTAAACATCTACATATGTATTACAATTCAAGAATTTTTTAGATATCGGTCTATCTTGCCAGGTACAACAGGTGATAAAATGGTCAGGTGTTTCTGTTAAATTTTTGTGGTGAAAGTTATGGTATGGGGTGTTATTGCTTATGATAGCAGACCACCACTAATTTTCATCAGAGGCAATATGGCAGATCGACGCTATATTCAGGAGGTAGTGGAGCCTCATCTTATTCCATACCTAAACACCATCCAAAACCTGCAGAAAGACAATGCCAGAACTCATGTAGCCAGAGCATCGTTAGCCGTCATGGATCAACACCGCATCAACCGTTACCGTTACCTTGACCACCATGATCGCCTGACCTATCTCCAGTTGAACATGTCTGGGACATGATAGGTCGCAGGCTCTTTAATTTGCAACACTCTCCACATACCTTAACAGCTCTTACTCACGATGTTGCAGTAGCCTGAAATAAGATACCCCAACAGGATATCGCCCAGGCGTGTCAATGAGTGAACAAGAGATCGAGATTGAACTAGCTTCTGCAATCACTTGACCAATCAAGCTGAAAATTCAATCATTTTACACTGAACGTATCTGAACATAGGTGTTTACCTCATTTTGTCACTCAGAACATAAAAAACTACAAAGGGAAATGCCGTTATGAAACGAATTGTGCTTATTATTTTCCCGTTTATTAAATACAAGATGAGATACGATTACAGCTACCTAACTAACAATTATCACTCCTATTAGAGTTGCAAGAATGATTATACAGTATTCCTTAAACAGCATTGTATACTGTAAGAACATTGGCAAAACCCTCTTAGAACAGCTATACAAGCGGAATGGGCACACCTAATAGGACGCTGCAGTCATTTAAGAGGTTAAATAAGGGCTGCAGGTAACATTTATAAAACAAAAGTGTAAGCCTCTTGCAGCCGCTACAGGACATTTGCGTCAGTGCAAGATTCAGTTTTTGTCAACTATACAACTATTCTGTTACGTGATTCTACTTTATTGCAACCAAACTATTTCTTATGTATTGTATAGACGAAGTGAAGAATATATAACTAACACATTACAGTCATCTTGTTTACTTACATATCGGCCATTGTGAATTTCATACACAGATATATGATAAACTTCTACACTGTGATATCGGGCTATTGAATTACTTGTGCAGCAAATTTTAAAGTGATTATCGTGCAAATTAGTTACCCAATTTCTATGGGCTTCGTATTTGATTCATATTTTGACAATGATCAAAAGTCTGTCTAGATTTTTAAGATGGAAAACTGAACTTATCTGCGTTAAATCTTCCACAAATCCTATATTTAGACACAATTACACTAATGTGTTTATATCTGTAATTTCGAACTGAAACATAATTATTTAATATTAAATAGAGGAATAAATATTTGCCCAATATGGCGGGTGGTTGTGTACAATCATGACATCGTCCATGTTGTCTTTAGGTTATTAGAATATTTTGGTGTTGCCTGCAGGTGTTATACAACAATTTGACAAATGTCTGAAATGAAATACTGACAGAGTCGAATGATTTACCCACAATTTGTACCAGATCTACATCTTCTGTTTGAACAGTTGATAAAACATTTTGAACCAATATGCATGAGTTGTTTGTCTTAAAACATTGATTATGGCATTTTACAAAAATATGACAGCAGAAAGTTAGGTTATGGTGAAGTTGTTTACCAACATATTTAGCATATGTACAGCCTTTAACAGTTACTAAACAACAGTTGTATAAGTGCTTCCGTTGGGAGCAATTTGTTGGCTAAAGTAGTAAATTGCACAGCAAAACAACAAGGCTCGGGTTTGTTTTATAAACGTTGCCATAACCATTTTGACTAACGTGCAAATATGCCGTATAAGATAGTTCTATAAACGTTTATGCAACAGTTAAAAATTTTCCCTATAAGGTGTTGTATAACTAGGCTATAAGAATATTTTAAACACTTCATTTTAGAGCAAATATGTTGCATAATCAAATCTGCATTCCACACAACATTAAGAAAGCATTTTTGTGTTCAGGCAACAACAATAGAGAGCTTTTATGGGTGAACGGTTCTTTTACCAAAAGCTTATACCACTACTTTGCTAGTTGGGTATAAATTCCATTTAACCCGGCGTTGGTACGGTGGGGTATAATATACCCCAACGCACTTTACCTCGTCATAACAGATCATAAATGGCCAGCAGCTTCGCGAGATTTCGTGTATCTTCGGATAAGACCTTAATAATCACGGAAACATGAAGCGCTCAGTGGATGACTGACCGTCGCCCGTGCTATGTGCTTCACTTTGCGATTGTGCATGTGATACCCCACCGTACCGATACCGCTACATAAGAATTTTCAATCATACCCCACCGTACACTTTTATTTTTAGTGGCTCCATTCATTTTCCAAGGTGAGTTTTTTTGTAATTTTATTTAATTTGAATTACCTCAGGTATATTTTTAGTATGTCGCACTGGGAAAAAGAGCAAGAGAGGTTATTGAAGCTATGGGAAGAAGTAGGAGCAGAAGACTCTGAAAATGAGCAGCTAGAACAAGAAGCAGCATCTGGATCGGAAGCAGAAGAAAATAATAGTGAAAGGTCTACAAATTCTGATACAGAGCAAGAAATAGATGAGGAAGATATACTTCACTTGTCCGAGGCTACAACGTGCACATCAAATGATATATACATGGGAAAAGATGGAGTTACAAAATGGAGCAAAACTTGTGGAAATTTAGCTGTGAAGACAAGAGCTGAAAACATAATTTCTCATTTACCTGGAGTAAAAACAGATTTCAAAAACATCAAAGAGCCCTTGCAGATTTGGAAATGTTTTTTATGTAACAAATGCTCTCTGATATTGTAAAATATACCAATGACAAGCTAAATGAAAAAGCAAAAAACCATAGTCGCCCTGATACACAACATCTCACAAAACATACAACATTGGAAGAACTTCAAGCATTTTTGGGACTTCTATATGTAGCTGGTGTTTTAAAGTCGGCAAGACAAAATTTGGACGACCTAAGGTCTACTGATGGTTTGGGAGTTGATATCTTCAGGTCAACAATGTGTAAAAAAAGATTTAGTTTGTTGCTACAATGTTTACGGTTTGACAGAAGTGCAACAAGACCAGAAAGGCGCCAGCTGGATAAGCTTGCACCCATCAGAGCAATTTTTGAAAGGTTTGTGGAAAACTCGCTCGCTGTATATACTCCCAGTGAAGACGTTACAGTTGACGAAAAGCTTGAAGTATTTAGAGGCAGGTGTTCTTTTCGCCAGTTTATCCCAAACAAACCGGCAAAATATGGAATCAAGATCTTTGCATTGGTAGATGCCCGAACATTCTACGTCTTGAATCAAGAAGTTTATGTTGGCAAGCAGCCATCTGGTCCATTTGAACAAAGTAACAAACCAGAGGATATAGTTTTACGCCTTTGTAAGCCGATTCAAAAGTCTGGACGCAATATAACTTACGACAATTGGTTTGCAAGCTATTCGCTTATGACAAGACTATTGCAAGAATATAAGCTGACTTCGGTCTGTACTCTACGGAAAAATAAAAAAGAAATTCCTGTGCAGTTTTTACAGACTAAACATAGAGCGGAAAAATCATCTATATTTGCATTTCAGAAAAATGCCACGCTCGTTTCATATGTTCCCAAAAAAGGAAAAAATGTTCTGCTTCTTTCGAGCCTACACCATTCAGACATGATAGACGAAAGCACAGGAGATGACAAAAAGCCAGAAATTATAACGTTCTACAATTTGACAAAAGGTGGTATCGACGTTGCAGATGAACTTTCAAGTAACTATAATGTTTCACGTAATAGTAGAAGGTGGCCCTTGACCATATTTTTTTCGTTATTGAATACAGCATCAATCAACGCTTTTGTGGTATACCTTTCCAATGTTGGAACTCCTATCAAACGTCGCGAATTTATCAAAGAATTGGCACTAAAAATGATTATGCCTCATATGAGAAATCGACAAAACAATCCCAGAATATCTTTATGTCTGAAAAGGAAAATGAACGAAATTACAGGTGCTTCCACTTCTGCAAATATCGTTGATTGTGAGCATCCTGGCAAAAAACAAAGAAAGTCAAAACGATGTTATACATGTGATCGTTCTAAAGACAGGAAATCTTTCTACTGTTGTGCACTCTGCAAAGAATTTGTATGCTTAGAACATTCTATGATAACATGCTAATTATGTTTTGAACAAAACAAAAATAATACATGATATTGTGTTAGTATAGTGTAACTTTTTCATTTCTTAGAATATAATAGCAATGTATGTATTTTAACATTGTCAAACTTTGACCTATTCCAATAAATGTTTGAATATTCATCGAAACACCAAAAAACGTAGTTTTGATGCGATGGTCTCTTACATCCTCCTTTACACATATAAATTTGATAAAAAACAGAAATGGAATAACCTACAACACCTAAATTGCACCCTTGATGGATTTCTCTTTCAATGAATGCTCATACCCCACCGTACCACTAATGTTTGTAAACGCCACCGTACCAACGCCGGGTTAAAAATTTGAGTGATACTTTATTATTTTTAGAGCTATATTTCAATTCAGAAGCGATGATCGAATAAATGAGAAGAGAGAAAATTATTTTTTTGCCGTTACCAGTGCAATCCGTTTCTCCTTGAGCTAAAACTTTCTAGGCTATTTGTAGCATAATACGAAGTACGAAAGGCGTATCGACGGCTCCCAGAATATCAAATGTAATCTCGGATGTTGTGTAATATACAGATGGACCGAGGGAGAATCAATCCAAAGCTCGTAACAAAGCGTTGCTCCCACTCAATTTTGTTTCGTATTCAATGTTTTGTGTTGTTATTCAAAGAAACAGCTTGCGTATAAGTAATACTATTTGAAATTCAAATCGCTGTATTGAAACGCTTCGTTTTACGTATCCAACAAATACGCGAAATGGATAGGCTGGCAGGAATAGGAGAAAGAGACAGTCCTTTTTTGCAGCGGAAAGCTTTTACAGCACAAAAATGATGGAACTTGCAATATGGTGTAATTAGAAAATCTGGTCATAATCACTGAAAACACCAGTTTCTTACTGCATGTCAAACATATTTTTTTGCAAATTTTTATTTGACTTAGGGCCGATTTCACCAACATTAATATTATGGACAATGGGAAAACACCTTATCGAAATGCAATTTGACAGAAGCTGTCTCTGAATATTAGTGATTTCTATTGAAATATTGAATAAAATCGTGAAAATTCGACTGTATTATAAACAAGACCACTTTTTGATTTCAACATGATGCTTTTGTACAGAAAAAACAGGACAACTTTCATATATTTTGATATATGTTATAGGTTTACATTTAACAATCCGTTATCCCCCTCAGCGAATGGGAATGAGGCAAATAATAGGTCGATTCTCTAGCTGTTAAATTTGGCAGCAGATTTGGACGTTTGTTAATGCATGGCACTATCGAATTTCAAAATACAGAAAGTTATCATTACATACCTGTTGAATAGTGTGGATGTGTCTGTATTTTGCAAGAAAATGGAATATAATATACATTCCAACCAATTCCTCATATTCCTTTACGTCATAATAGTAATCATTTATTAATTTATGGGTTAATGAATTTCTTCAAAGCAATAAACACATTATGTCCTCTCTATCCTAAAACACCGATAATATGTGTAAGACGTGTCAATCCCTACATCTCTCTGATGCATAATTCAATTACTATGGACATAGACAAAAAATTATGAAAAGTGTTTCACAAATAATGTCCTTTTAAGTCCAAAAATCATCAAAACTAGTAATGTTTATTACATTTGTTGGGTTTGCATTGTTTCGTGAAAATTTACTAGGTATCATGATTATAAGCATCTTTGGCAGACTGTTCGATCCGGAATGGAATGGAAGATCTCCTATTTATGAAAATATTTTTGGTATCATCTAATCGTTGCAATCAGTGCACAAACACTGTGACATATGCTTTATAGCATAACCCGCTGACCTATCAATACAAATTTAACATACAGGTCGCCTAGCCGTGGGGATGCTGTGGTCAGGATGAATATCACGGCACCAACTGATGATTTGGGCATGTCTGGTAAGAACGTATGAAGTGAAACTCGCACACTTCACAAATTTAAAGATTTTGTACAATTTCTTTGAAAATGATGAAAGATATGTCTAATTTGGCAGCGTAATGTCGCAGCCAAATAGCAGTAACTCTTTCTGACACAGTCCGGATCGAAAGATGACGATACTGGTGAAATGTATTGATACTTGTAACGATAGGATCCTATCGAACATCCCTAGTGTCAAGATGTATAACCCAAGGTACCGACGGAGCTATTTTGCGGCGTCATGGAAATAATTTTAAATTTTCATTTGCATTTTTTCAAGTGTTGTATATATTTCAACAGTTGGCGGAACTTAATCCACTGGGACCAGGAGGGTGAAACGGGATATTAATGCACAATTCGGCAACCCTGTCGCACCTTCACAAAATGGCCGCTGACAACCACACAAGTCACCGTGTTGTGATTGAATAGCATGGAATTAAACCTTCAGAGTATGTTTTGTGACTGGTACCAAGAGTTGACAGATCCCACACATGTGTCACTCCTTGAAATGCAATAATCAGCTGTATTCCAATAATGTCTAATATAAATATAACCTAGAATGTGTATTCGTGGAAAAAGAAAAATATGGCAAATTTGTAGTTTTTTTGCAAGTTTTAGGTTTGCTGGTAGAAGGCATATATTTGGGAATTTCTTAATCGCTGTGAATATAGTGTGGATGTTTGTTCAGTTCCTGATCAACGAAAAATATTCAACTTTATGGATGTATGGATATCAAAAAACCTGAATGGTTTTGTGGGAATATCAATCTAAGGTGCCATAATGGTTCTGTTGAACGGCAAGTAAATGAATGAATGTTTGGAAACGAGCAATATCTTTTGGTAGAGCCTGTCATCAAGTAGGTGTTTAATGGCTATCTGCAAGAGGTTTATAGGAAAAAATACCCAGTATCACATATCGATTGAAGAAAATAATATAAGCATGAATAAAAAATCAACAATAGTAATTAAAACATGAATTTAATTCAAAAATCAAACATTTCTTAAAATTTTGACTGAATTATATGTAATTTCTTAATAATCAATAAGCTGGTGTTGTTTCAATGACAAGTTGTCATCTCACACTTTGGCAGTATTTTGTTTTCAACATTTCATAGGTATTGGTTGCTAAAATTTGTTGATTGAAACTTGAAGCTCATTCGCTGTATCTGACGGTCTGTTACCCTATAGGTGGAGAATAACGGATTGTTGTTGGTGAAATTGGGCCTTAACCTCTTATTAGGCAGCATGAGTATGTTAGTGTAGGGCATATTTTGGAACTCAATTTTGAACCACTTAAGCTCAACCAATTGAGCTAAAACTTAATATACACATTTTATTCTTTATTAAGATAGTACTGCTTTATATCAGTTCAGCCATTATAAGCAAAAATACAATTGCATCTGATGATTTATATAAAACCAAAAGATAAAAAATCCAATTCCCTAGAAAAATTTGCCTGCTACTTTTTTACATAGGATTGATGGTTTCAGAGATTTTCGATCAAAAACGCTTATCAAAATGGCGGCAAATGCTCCAGACCTATAACGACGTCAATTTGAACTTATTAGAAGCCAGTAATAGAATGGTCGCGCCAAGAAAATTTTACTGTTGCCAATATTGAAGGACCTCCTTACACAATATTTCCCTAATGCTTGGCCTAATTGCATATAATCGTATTCTAACTTGTCCGCTGTCCTTGACCTGGCAAAGTTTGGTTCGTCCACACAAACTCTA